TACCACAAAGTCTGGATCTGTCTCCCAGTCATCAGCTCCATCATTCTGGTTGACAGAAACAGTGTGGCCTGCAGTCGCTTTCCACATCTGCAAGACCACAAGAACGAGCAGGGTCACACTCTAGTCACATATCAACTCATTTATGTGCAAGCTGCTGGAGATGTAACCCAAAATTCCCAGTAAAATATGTTATTTAATCACACCACCAGAAGCTGTACTTGCAGTGAAAGTAGATTTGACCTATCTGCACTGTAAAAAGGTTAGGAGCCATCAATGACATGATTTCAAAGAGAACAAAGAGGCCTTCCCTTGCTAAAATTAATATGTGTCTTTTCATCTACCTTCACTGCACTCAAAGACTTCTCCTCAAAAAGGTTTCCAAGCCAATATCCACTTCCAAATTCTAATTTTAGATCCTGTGCATATAGTTAAGGTGTGGAAATAGGTGGTTTTTCCCCAGTCATTAATAATGATGAGAACAATACTGTTCTTTAGGTTGTATAAACTACATTATACCTGCACAACCTCATGTGTTGTGTAATGAATTTCAGCATGATGACAGAAATCCAAACAACTGTAAGACTTTGCACACAATCCAGCAACAGAGAACATAAGTTTCTGTGTTTTGAGACACATGAACAAAGTCAGCATCTTGCCTGATTTCAGGAGAAACAGAGGCAAAGAGCTGGAGTACCGAGAGCAGGAAGCAAGACTCATAAAAAGGCAAGCAATGGCATCCAGAAACAACATTCAGCACTTCCAAGAGGTTAATGACTTGGGGCATCTCACTTTGGGGAAACTTTATCCCCTGTGGAGTATCAAGTTGGATGCTTTTAATTAACACTTTTGAACATGACTAGTTAGCAGAATTCCTGAACTGCCTGGAATGTGGCTGTGTGTTACACCCTTTGTTCTAAGTAAGTCAAGACAAATAAATTCTAAAAAGCAAAACTAAAACGTCAAAAAACAAGCCTCCTGTTCTCCCAGCTTTTCAGATACACGTCAGAGAAAGGGTTTTTCTTTGCTATTCTACTAGAGCTCAGTTTTTTCACATACCATCATTCTGTCCACTTACCTTTATCTTTCTAATTAAGAATAGATTATAAGGATGATTGTCACAGGCTATTTCACTCACACAAGCATAATTCAGTAGGTGGAATGAAAACTCCCTTTTAAATGCATAAATAATAATCCATGGGTAAAGTCCACCACTCGCTCTGTCAGGCTTGTTCTACAGCCTGACAGAATGAGCTGATGAGCCAGTTTTATGGAGCATTTCAGAAATTTCAGGACTGGCAACATGAATGAGAACAACTGAAAAACTGATAGTGAAACACCAAGGTAACAAATGATGGAGCAGCCTGGGAGGAGGGTGTAAAAGCAGAGCAGATGACATCCTGAAAGTATATTTCCCCTTATGCTCCTTCAGGTCTCCCATCTCCAAATTCCTCTGGCTATTAAGGAACTAGCATTTATAACAGTACTTCATGTGCAGAAAACTAACTACAGGTTTATAACATAAACCTTTAGAACATTGGTATTTTATCACTGTCTTTAGAATATCCTGTCTAAAGCCTTCTATGATGTGATTGCGTTTCAGATTTTCCTACATTTTCCTACTAAAATCTAATCTCTCATCAAAAAAACTGCAAAGCCTTGGAAAGCAGATTCAAAACAGCTCAATAATGAAATTCAACATGGAATCCAGGTTCTAACTTTGTAACTTCTCTTAAGAGGGATGGCTTTGTATCCAACCCTCTGTGCAAGATGTTTAGAAATGGAATTCAAGTGACAAGAGCTGAAGCACAGGTACATATGCATATGGCGAATCTCTACATATTTAGTGCAAAACCCTTTTTTTCCCCATGTATTTGATTCATACGTTCACTTGACTGATGTGTTTCCTAAATTCAGCTGTGCTCAGATATTTAAAAGAACAAAAGCTGGATCCTTAAGCCTAGATTTCATTGCTTCCTCCTGGAATTCTCACAAACAATAGCGCAGCAAAGAAGGATTTCATACGCTCCTCTATGCAAAATCCAGAATCCAACATGTTTCTTCCTAAATTATGTGGATAAACGCCAACATTTTTCCACACCTCAACCCTGCACTATACGAAGTGAATTACAAACGGGAGAGCGAAGCAGCGCAGTGACAAGAGATCTCAGTGCAGAGCCAGCAGGAATTTTTGCTCGTTTCGGCCTCTCTTCCAGCATCAATTCCAGGGCAGACCGAGGAGAAACATGATCTCTCTGTGACTCAGTGGTTCACGTGGCCAAATTTCTGAAGGAAAAAGCAAAACGCTGCGGCTCGAACACAAACCGACCCTAAATGTACACCGCAGATTTATGCGGCCAATCCCGCTCCTGACTCATGGGCGGACACATCATCCTACCCAGCGCCTTTAGCGGCGCCCTGGGGAACTCTCCCCTTCCCAGGGCCTTGGGACGAGCTCCTGGAGGAACACGCCGAGGCTTTAAGGTGAAGAGAAGCAAAGCTGGATGGAGGGCACCGAGGAAAAGGGGGCTCGGGAGTGCGGCAGTCAGAGCCCCGGCGCGGCATCACCGCGGCGCGTCCCGGAGAAGACGCTTCCTCTCCCCTCTAGTGACCAGCGCTGCGCTGCTTCGCCGAGTTTAAATAACATTAAATAACATTAAAAAAAGGAGACGGAGCCACGCAGCCCCGGCTGTGCCCCTGCCGGCAGAAGGAATCTCGGGGTCCTGCAGGATGCTCCGCCGCCGCCCCTCGCCGGCCCCTCCCGCCCGGCCCCACCGCGCTCACGGTGTCGCCGCCTCCTCGTCCTCCTCTTCTTCCTCGGCCCTGGATCGCCCCGGTGCTTCCCGGGCTGGCGGCGGCTCCTGCTGCTGCAATTTCCGCTTCTCCCCAGCTCCCACTTCCTCTTCCCGGCTCCAGGTGGGAACGGGACGGGCCGCGCTCCGCCCCCGGGCGGGGCTGTGCTGGGAACACCGCCCCCCGGGAGCGACACTCGGGATGAGAGGCACTGCCATGATAATAAATGTGTGTATTGGAGGCAGTAGGGCAGCTGCTCCTTCCCCTATTTCTTTAAATCGCTGTGAAAAATGCGCTGTACAAGCGCTATTCCAAAAATGCACCATCAGGAGTTTTAAAACGGCCAGGGGAATTTGGGGCAGCTTGGAACAGACTTTTTCTATTTTTCTCCTCGTTTTTCTCTGCCTCCTCGCTTTTTTTTTTTCTTTTCCCTTCCTCCTTTTCCCCCCTTTTTCTTTTTCCCTCTTTTTTCCTTTTTTTTCTTTACTCTTCTCTCTTTTTTCCTTCCTCTTTTTTTCCCTTCATTTTTTTCCTTCCTTTTTTCTCTTTTTCCTCTTTTTTCTTCCTTTTGTTTTTCCCTTCCTTTTTTCTTTCTTTTTCCCCTAATTTTTTTCTTTTTTTCTTTCCTTCTTTCCTTTTTTCTCACTTTTTCTTTCCTCTTTTTTCCTTCCTCCTTTTTAGTTTTCCCTTCTTTTTCTTTATTCCCCCCTCATTTTTTTTCTTTTCTTTTTTTCTCATTTTTTCCTTCCTCTCTTTCCTCTTCCCCCTTTCCCCTCTTCCTTTTTTTTTTTTTTTTTTTTCTTTATCAATTTTAATACTTTTGTCCCATCACGTTTTGGAAACCACAACTACCCTGTCCCAAGGGTTTTCCAGTTTCCATCACTTTCATCACTAGGCAAAAAGGTTTGGCTGCTCCCAAGGGACCTAAACTGAACAGATGCCAAAAGGAAAACAAATGGGTTTAAAAATGCAGCCTTAACACTGTAATTGGAGTTGTTTGTTTGCCCACTCTGTCTTTTGGAGGAGGAGAAACACACTCTAAGGAGCAACATTTCCAGCAAATAAACATGACAAATAAATACACAAATTGTAATAAAGGCTAAGATAAAAAAATCCAGGTGAACAGGAATATTTATTAATTCCAAGTGTAGCCAGTTCACAGTATAAACAAGCTCAATTACTTTTTTCTGGATTAAATATAGTGCAATTTTCCCTATAAAGTCTACTTTAAAAATTGGGCTAAATTTCCTCTCATAAAGCTGCCTGCTGGAGGAGAACACAGGCTCAGAGAGTCTGAATCCTTTGGTAATTACTTCTGGCTCTGTTCTGGGCCCTTTTGGAGTCTTCGCATGTCCCTCTATGTACAGGTAGGAATACCAACCACATTTATACATACCACTTTTCACCCATCTGTTCCAACATCCCATACAAAACCACAAGGCACTGCTACCTAAGTTAACAAAACTGCATTTTTGCCCCCCAAAACCCCTACTATTAACAAAAAATGAAATTAATTAAATTTAGAATAACTTGAGTTTAAGCAGTGCACCAAATCTACAACGCTGACAATGCAAAGTGAAAAATTTTCCTTTAAAGGCCAAGTAACTCTTTATTTTCTTCAAAAATTATCACCCACAAACATAACATGGTATCAATTTTTATTTATCTGGAAATTTACTTTGTTGGTCCTCCCTCCCAATCTTTACCAAGTTCCAAGAATAAATTCTGTTTGAATTTATTCTACTTCATTACTTCACCTTTCTCCAAATTTTGGCATAAGTCACTCCTGTCCCTAAAACACTGCTAAAGCAACTTCCTGTGCTCTAATTGTATAGCAGTTTGAAAGGAGCAAGACAAAGTTAAAACATCTATTTTGAGATTCCCTGTCCTCTAAACATGTAAAAATTGCAAGTTTGAAGTTCACTCAGATAATTCTACTATCTCCTGATTGCAGACAGAATGCCAACTATAATTTTTACAGCACTTTTCCCAACTAAAGCCTTTAGAGACATCGGGCCATTTACAAAAAGCTCTATTTAATCAAGTGTTATTTACAGATTACTATAACATACCCATGTGCCTTTTCCACACTATTTTTAATTTGGGCAGGGAGGGGGTCTGTGTGTGTCATGAAAATTAAATAAATGTTTTTCTTGTTTTACCCAAGACAGTTTAGCTGTGTAATTCAGAAGGAAGCCACCACACAGTTATGCCAGTTTGTGAAAGCTTTTTGCCATTTCACTCATTTATTCTAGCTCTCATATCAGTTCCATTGTTCCATAACACTTAAGGTTTTACAGCCTTAAAATAATAAATGCATTTTCTTTTCACATTTTACAAGTCTACCCCGCATTGGTTTCACTTTTGAGAAGCAACAATACACGACTTTGAACACCCACTATTACATCAGTGACCAGCAACGTCTATGCAATTTTTTCTCTAAACAGTGAAATTCAGCTGAACAGCGAGTCAGGAGCTCCTTTTGCAGTTCCATTTCAGCTTTTTCTAGGAAGATAGATTCTCTGAAAATATAAAAGAGCCTGCAAATTAACAGAGAGCAACTCATACAGACAAGCCAGACAAACAGATGCATTACTGAACAATGTTTAGAGCATCAGTGACAATATTTCTCCATTCCAGGCATTCCTTCTGTTGATCCAGAGGACATGATGGAATATGCTTCACTACTGCTTCCATTATTCTGTAACTTTATCCTTCTGTCTTCTCTTCTACACAAGAAATGGTTTACAAATGTATTAAAATTGACATAAACAGCCCTATTGTGACCCAATATTGTATTGGTTCCCTCGACTCCTGTGTTTCTCCCCAAATATCACTATGGTCATAATCTCATTTTGTTAACAAAGCAGCTCTTGGTGCTACCTAGAACAGCACTTCAATCTCCGTCACGTGGACCAGAACACACTGAAGTTGTGTGGTAGTTTTTGTTACCATTTTTAAAAGCAAATCACAGCTGTAACTATGAGTAGAAGGAGGCAATAAAACCATTTTCTTCAGAAAACTGTTTTTTTCCAAAACTGATTAATGCATGTGAACTTGAACAATTCCAAAGAAAATGTCACCTCTAATGGAGTACTTTTTTCCTACTGGAGAAAGGTCATCATCTGAAACAAGATCTACAGGGCAGCAAACAATCATGTCCGCTCACTGCAAAAGTTTCTGCCTGCACACAATTAGATCTCAGCTTTTCCATAGTGTTTTATTGGCAGTGGAAAATGCATCAGTACTTTATTGAAAGAAAGCAATAAATAATACTGTGATAAAAATAGTTCAAAAGTAGACTGTACATATTGTTACATAATCTGAAGATACACAAAAGATTAATAGAAAAAAACCCAGAACAATAACAATGAATTTCAGTTTTACAAGCAAAGTTAAAAGTGGAAAACAAAATAAGAGAAAAAAGACATGCTATATATATTGCTGCATAATAAATAATGCACCATCTGAACAGATTCTTGCTGGCTTTTTAATATGCCATTTACAAGTATCAGATACATTTTCTACTCATACAGTCCAAAATAGCAACACCCATCAAAATTAAAGTCCAGACAACTCTTTAGAACAAGTTTACAAAACATATAAGATGACTTACATAAGAAAAGTAAGGCCTTTATTAGAAGATGCACTGCTTGAGGTTTCAGCCCATTGTACCTTCATCTTTCCCTACTCACCTGACATGAGGCTGCAGTGCTTTAAGATTGGTCCATTAAAACTAGTTCCACCAGCATCTTTCCACAAGTGTTTTCAACCAAAAAAACCCTAAAAACCTCTCTGTGGCCTGTGGCCTATGACCAGGAATCATTATGAAGTCTGTCTTCCTCACTTAAGGAAAAGAAAAAATACAAACAGTTCTTGGTTTATGGCTTGTTTTCAGTCACTGTGAAGAGTCGCTTTACAAATACAGCAGAGTGTGTTATGAGTGAGTCAAAATCACTTCTAAAACGTGTTCTCCTCAGTTCCTCCCAGCTCTTAAAACACGTTCTATTTTGAATAAAGTCAAACTGCCACTACTCGACAAGTCCTCTGTGTGGAAAGATACAGCTCTGAGGAGAACAACACTTGTGTACCACAGCTCCTATATCAATATCTGAAAAAAAGCTGGGCTTGTTTTCAGGTCTAACAGCTCCAAAAAGACAAAATATATACTGCTTGGTGTCATGATACTTTTACAAAGGTATTAAAATCCTTTTCACCTTCAGTTTCATTATTAAAAAACAATGATAATTACAGTAACTGCATAATTTACAAAAACCCTATATTGCTCATAGGGACATATACATACAAGCATTACAGTACATTCAGTTGGAAAGACTAAAATTAGAATAAAAAATCAGCAATGATTTGATTTGTAGACTGAATAGAAACTGAAAAAGTAAGTAACTATATAAATGAGAAGTCACATAAATATAGGAAACATTTAGATTCTAAAATATTTTCTCTGTAGTACTCATGAATTTATTTGCTAATTAAAAACTCTGTAATAAAATATCTCAAAGTGTCCATTTAACAAGTATTAACAGGTTAAGGGTTCCAAATGTTCAAAATGCTGCATATCACCGGTAGAAATAGTGTGGGTAAACTGCAAAAACAACAACAAAACAAACAAGGAAAAAACAAACAAGAAAAGAAACACACAAAAAATTCCATTAGCAGGTTTTTAACATTTCATTCTAGCACTTTCACAAGCAGCTCAGTAGTGCAGCAGTCACGTATCAAAATATTGCTATGCCATGCTGTATGGAATTTTATTGCCTTCTGCAATCTCCTATTGCAATGCAAAGTAAAGCACATAAGGTCAAGTATTTCTGCTTGGAAGATTTTCATCCCAGGTCACCTGACTACAGAAAATCCATGGGGACAATCTGGGGGAGGGGAAGACTTAAAACTTCAGTTCCTTGGAACTAAAAAAAAATTAAAATAGCCCCTGAGATTATGAACTGACAGATTCACATGATCTGAGTTTCCATGTGCAAGAGTTTCCCTTCTCAGAATTCCATACAGAAGAACTTTTTACAACTAAATTCCTACAGGCAAAAAGGTTCAGAATTTGAAGAAAAGGCAGTCAGTACATGAGTTGGAAGGGATGCCACCAGTAAGAAGAAAGAAGGTGCAAGAAGAGACAATTTACAGTCCATAAAAAATACCAACAAAGGAGAAAGATTCACTGAATTTTTTTTTAAATCAATTATAGTAAATATTAAAAAATTTAGTTTCCTGACTTACTTGCAAAAGGAGAGAAATTCTGTTCATGAGAAAATACAGCACAGGCTGCTGAAGAAACATTCAAAATCCTCTAGGAAGGCAGGACTACAGACCTTTCACAAGCCACAATACATGTATTTTGTGTTACACTTGTGCTATCAAGCTGCCTTTTATTGTCAGCACTGCTCCAAATTTAGGCTGCAATCACCTAAATCCAACCTAAGCAATCATACTGGCATAGAGCATCCAAGAACTGGAGAACTATGGAATTATCCCTATAACCATTCAATATTGAAGTGTGTTTTAGTGGGATAACTTTAACCAAGCAAAGACCCTGAAAGATCAACAATCAGAAGTGAAGTGTCACAGATTAAATTATTTTCTTTCCTTTACATGCCCAACTTAGTTCTCTTCCCTCCCTCCCACTTTCAGTAGCTGTGTTTCACCCAGTTTTTGATTTCAACACTTTCTACATAGCACAGGCTGCCGAAAACCTTCAAAAAGCTACAATATTGACAAAACTAAGTATTTAAACACTCACTCTTCATTGTAGGAAACAAGCTCTAGATTTTCAGCATAAATCTACTCTGAAAACTTGAACAGTTTTCTTAGTGTAAAACCACTGTAATAAAATACCTGATGTTTTATTCCATAAATAGCTGCTTTACCAGCAGACCTATCAACTTTACTCACCAGGAGAAGGCTTTAACAGGAGTAGGTCCTTACTGTAGCAGAATCCAATCTTTGTGTTCCTGATACACTGCCTATTTCAAGAAGCATGGGAAGACATGCAGAACACAGCATGCATGTTAGTTTTCAAAAAAAGAAACAAACAAACAAACCCCAAACCATCACAGCAATGTGATTACAGCTCTGGTACTCACCTAGCTCTAAGGTTACAAGTTAGAAAAGCAGAATTTGTTTTACAGTCTCTATATATTAACCACTCCCAGTTTCAGTGGCTAACAAAGAATTCTAAAAATCCTGCAGGTCAACTAGCACGCAGACATTGGTAAAGGTAATTTTATAAGTTATTTACTACTTTATGTAGTTCATAAGTATTTATTTAATATCTCAGAAAGGGACTTCACTTAGCAAAGACTAGCAAAGACTTCACTTATTTTAACTTATGGAGTTTTCCACATGAATTCTTGAAAATATTTTGTGCTAGTGACAGTATCTAAGATTTAAAAGAGCTCATCAAATGCAAAGATTCCTTCTTTGAGTTTTACTCATAAATACAATTTTCAGAACCTAAGACAACTCTGATAGATTATGCTGCAGTTCTCATCCAACAAAATACATTTTTTAGCTGTCTTCTGTAAAACAAATTCAAGTCAAAGTTCATTCTCATGATACTACAGAGGCTGTTTTTAAACAGACAAGATCCCTCATGTGAGATGTAATCAACTTCCACTTCCAGAGGAGACTTTTGGGGTTTGCTTTTGTTGTTTTGTTGTTTTTTTCAATTCATATCAGTGTCTGTGCATACATATAGACCATTAAGTGTACACCAATGAAGCAGTGATTTCAAGTATGATCAATATTTAAGTGACCACTGTAGGGGGTAATGCACAGGTTACTCAAGTTTTAATAATCTCAAAATTATCTGAGTAAGTTTTCTCACATCATTCTTGAATGCATGTTACTGCATTTCAGAAGTGGGACTTCCATTGGTCTTAATTGCTGGTAATTACTAATTATGCATTAGATTATTAAATGACTTCTACTAAAATGCCATTTTATTTTCCTAGTTTAAATTACACTTATTTCTAACTATAATTCTGATTTTGTTACTCCAATGATGTAAAAAAGAAACTCAACATCTAGTAGACCTTCCTGAAATGGCAAAGCACCCTATGGTTAAACACAGTGTTAAACATACAACCATGCACAAGGCAGATGCTTTTAAGCAGTAAAAAGGTCATTTGAACTTGATTCCCCTGTAAATCTCAGGCAAAAAAAGCACATCATGCTTAAAATAATACAAAACCAATACCATCAATCTGCATCTTCTTTGGCTGCATAGAGGGTGAAGACATTGAGGTTGTAACTCTGAAATTTGCAGGAAGAGTCTCTGCTGATCCAGCAGCTAAACCTCTGATGTCCTTTGGTCTAAACTTCTTTCTCCATGAAGGTGCTCTCCTAAAGCTCTTATCATCATCCTGTCATATTGATAAACAACATTACCAATGCCAAAAATGGAGGATTGTTATTGAAGGATTGTTACTGACATTATAAGGATTACTGACAATCTTAAGTAAATGTATCAACACTGAGTTAACTGTGAGGAAATAGCAAGTGTAATAAATACTGTATTGTCACACAGTGTTTTGCTTAAGCACTTGTTTAAATTTAACTTGAAATTACCCAAGTGCATTTTCCTTCACCCATTAATATACCTGCATCTTTCAAGTCATATTCCGACTTCAGAAATACAATGTTGCATTTACTAAATACAGTTTGAGTCCCACTTTCAAACCCATCTTTTGCAGTGAAGGTATTGTGTCCACGCAAATATACCCACTAGGCACTCCATTTGCCAGCTTCCCATTTAGAAACAGTTCAATCCTTTGAATGCCATTTTACCTCAAATTTAGAATTAGGAGACAAGCATCTATGTTATTTGAAGAGATCTCCATGATCAAATTGCCCTGTGCCACTAGAACAGAGAAAACATCTGTTCCCTCCAAACTCCTTTTGCAGTTTGAAGTCTAAGGAAAAGTACCTCAGAAAACAATCAAGCTGTTTTCTGATATGTTATTAAAGCTTAGTAGAGATGCACACAAAGAACAGAGCTATCAGGATGTGCCACAGAAGGGCTGCAACAAGTGCATTAGGCAAGAGATGAACACAAAAATAACCAAGGTTTGTGGGTTTGCCACTTCAGCCTTAATCCGAACCACTTTCACTACATAAACTCCCACCAGCACCAAAGAGGAGGCAGCCCAGAGCTAAGACTGCCTTGGGGAAGTAACACCTGCTTGAAACTGTTCACAGAATTACAGCACAGAGCAACTGAAAAGGTTAAAGATGCAGCACTATCTCCCTTATGCTGTGAGTTCACAGGGTCTACAAAATAGTCTCACACCCAAAGTTTTATACTCATTCCATTTCAGTGAAGTTTATACATTTAAGATTACAGACTGTCCGTCAGAAATCACTTTGATGTGTGAACACACCTGGTGATCCTCTACTCTAGTATTAATCAAAATTAACACCACAAGATTTCTCAAAAAACACTCTAAGCTATTTGAAATACTGCTTGTTAGGACAAAGTGTCTTTCTCTATTATTAACTTTGTTAATTTGCCACACTGGTCACTAATTTTCTCATATTTTAGATAAAGAAGATTCAGCCCAAAGTGCTGCTATTAGATATTAACCACACAAGCTACAAAAGTAAACTTGCAAATCTTCTCCATACTTTCATATTCAAAGTCATCTTACCTAAATATACAAACTCTGTCATATTTAGAAACTCTCAAAGGCAAGGAGTTTCAAGTTAAGGTTTCTGTCACTATCCTGTCAAAAGCTTCAAAAGGTTCAAGCTAAATTCTTTCATTTAACAGTTCTGATAAAGTTTCCAGGACTGTAAAATGGGTCAACAGCTCAAGTAACTTACTTCATCAAGTCTTCTGTCAGTGCCCATAGCAAGAAGGTTATTAAATTCCCTCTCCAGAACAGCACGAGCCTAAAGTTTGTGGTATGAAAGAAATGGTAATTAATTCCAAAAAATTAGTAATTAGTAACCTATAATGATTTAAAAAACGTAATGGAACCCAAGCTGTTTAATACTTTCTTATCAGATTAATAAACATACCTGATACTTGAAAAGTTACAATTTAATTTGTAACTTATTAAAAATTTAAGGAAGACTTAACTTTCCCTTAGCTATGACATTAAAGTTCATGATTCTGGCAATTATTTCAGAGTAAAAATTAGCAAACAACAAAAATGATGAGTGGTACACTTGTGTCGTGAATATAGGCAATGAGGAAAATACTTAAACCATTTCTTTCCCCTCAAACAAATCTACCAATGAAAATTGTTATTAACAAGTATAAAACTATAAGAAAAGCATAATTTTAAGTTTTTTCTCTTATATGATAATGGACAATTTTCCATTTCTGAACTTTCTAGAGCTGGGAATAGAAAGCCATGCACATACCTATGAAAAAAACCCAGTCAGTTCCATTTTTAACCTTCTTACCAGCCATAAAGCAGCTTCTGCTTGCTTACCTGTGTGTTCTGGGTGGGGATTTGCAATAGGAGAGCTAATGCAATGTAATCGAAGGATTCATCTAAGGCCACAAGAGCACCATGAACTCCGCTCTCGACAAGGTTATTCGCATATTCTTTAAGACCAATGGACATGACCCAATGGATCATCCTTTCATTGCTCCACACAAGCACATCTGTAGAGGAAAAAAAAATGTTGGCAGATTTATAACAATACAACTTTTCTGAGCAAAATCACCCCAATCATAAATTTCAAGTGGAAAGTAAACATAAGTTTGCTGGAAAGCGTTTTATACTGTAATAGGAAAGGAGAAGAAGAGCAGGCACCGAGGCTGCTAAGCAAGCTCTATACAAGGTAACCCCAAATTTTTAGTCTCAGATATCAGAAAAGACTTCTGATATTAGGCAGGAAACAAAATTTCTATGGGAAGTCTTGGAAAACTGAGTTTCAACCCTGTTTTTTCTTGTTCCTCCTTGTTCCATAATTACCACAAATTTGGAAGATCTAAATACCTAAGTTACTTGGATATTTTCTTATAAAATGTTTGGGGAAAAAAAAAAAGAAGAAATAAGGAAACTCCCCCCCATCCTCCTAAAACATTTAGTTTCAAACTTCAGAGCAGTAAGAGTTTCAAGACTTCTCACATTTGTAGCACATCTCTGCACAAGTAAATGATTTAATTATGTGTTTCATCATTCACTGGTCAGAGCCTACATCCAGACATCTCCTTCATTTAACACTTAGTATTTTATAAATGATTCCTTGCTCTAATGACTTTTCTTTGTCAATAAATTTTTGAGGTTGATCAGTGGAAACATGTTAGAATCAGACTGAGGTCAAGGCACTACACTAACCCTTGATTTCATTCTGGCTTTCTTCCCTTTTTCTTTCAAGTTCTTTTCGATCATAATTCAGTCTTCGTAGGCACATGATTCCACACTGAAAACTGTTTCTGTTCAGAAGAGAGAAAAATAATGGAAAAAAACCTTAGAGACAATGAAAACATTTACTGAAAGTTAGACCTCCAGCTTAAATCTCTTTACCTGTGAAAGCTGTCCACCATTTTGAGCTGCCCGCGCAGGTCTTTTTTAGTTAAATGGTCCAGCATTCGAGCATCCACAAGACATTCCATGAAATAGCTGCGGTACTGAGGGAGCCCCAGGCTTGGGAGCCACTCATTGCCAATCCACTCATGGTTCATATCACCATAGGCAAGTGTCTGTTTTTTTTTTTAAAATTAAAAAATGAGAAATAAAAGAAAAAGCTATTTTACACAGCATATTTTAAAGAAATTGCTTACTTAATTCTTAGTCTATGAAGATAAGCACATCAAAATACTGAATACTACATGTGTGTTTTCTGAAGAAGGAATCCTCATGGAGAAAAGCAAGTTCAGATATGCAGATCAGCAAGTAAAACTGCCTTAATATATTTCAAGGAATAGTATGAAAAAAACATGCAAGAGCTAATAAAAGTAAAAAAAGGCTAATCTATGTGGTTTGATAGCAAAAGCCATAGAATTTCATTGTGTTGAGATGTTACAAATGCTGACTGTCTTGATAACTGGAGGGGAATCTTATTTGTCATGTGACTTTTTAAAGACAAGATATCACAAATATAACTGCAGAGAGTTTTTAATACACTTAGCTATTTTCACAAAATAATAAAAACCTACTACTCAAAACCAAGCCATTGTAAATCCCAGTTCTTATCCCAAGAGACTTTTCTCATTGCAGTTTTGATCTGCAAATCAACCAGGCATTTTTTAGAGAAAACATCTAAAAAGATGAGAGTTTGTAAGAGTTTGTAACTATATATCTAATAATTCCTTGAGCAGCAAAACCCAGCAGTTCCTTTTTTCAAAAGGGTAATAATTCCTTTTGTTCTCCCCCTGTGCATTTAAAAGTCAAAAGCTTCATTTCCCCTCTGGAGGAAACACCTTCCAGAAAGGAACAGGGCCACAGGGAAATGCACTTCTCCAAGCCATCAGTAGGTAGCAGAGTGAAGTTACTGTGGGCACAGGGAGCCAAGTTGTGATTGTTATCACTGACAATAAGCAAATGAGTATCAGAGACTTAGTTAATGGGACTTAACCAGGTTTAAGCTGGAGGGTAGCCAAGCAAGAAGAGACTACGCTGTCCAAAGATAGGGGGCATGGGTAAATCCTGAGTTTTGTTTATATCCCTGTATAAATACCCAACTATATCAATGCCTGAAAATACAATTAGGATTTATCACCACTTTAAGACAAAACAATTAATCAAGAAGGATTACAGAATTAGTGCATAGAAATCTACTTAACTATCTAGGCTCAGGGTGTTTTGCAGCACACCTGTGATGGTGGCTGGGTTTAACAGGGACTTCCTGCACAGAGCAGTTATTTTTCCTGGAATTCTGGCTTCCCAGAGCCAAAACACTAAAATATTGAAATCACCTAAATATAAAGAGGTGTCTTCCAAGTATGCATTGTACAGAGATAAGACTAGTTCCCCCCTCTCCCAATCCCCAAGTCACATCCAAAAAAATCACTAAAAGAGGCTGCTATAAAGGAAAAACAGATTCTTTTATGCTCTAATTATTGGGACAGTTTACATACAGTCTGTAATATTAGATAAAGTTTCCAACCTGAGCCCAGCTTCCCTCCTCATCTTCCTGTTACGTGGTTAGAAAAGCAAAAGAACACACACATATTAGTATTTAAGTTTAGTAAGGAGATCAAAGTTAATGGTGCACTGCAAGACTCTACTTCTACTGCATACCAAAAAAAATCTAGAAAAAGCAAGCATCATGCAATGTAAAAAATCATAGAGAAGGCACTTATTTTGTATGGGAAGTTGCAAAACCCATCTACTGATTAAGTTTAGTGAAGAGAAGAAATTTCTGCACCAATACTTCAATTTGGCTATTAGTTAATCAAATCAGAGCTCCATTTTACAGATTAGAGTTTTGTTTACAATCTTATCAATGCTGATTTACTTTTTTTTATTCCCTTCTGGAAAAAAAAAATCAAGATGCAGGTAACAAGTTAATAATTAGAAGAAGCAACAATCCAGAATTTTAGTGTGTTAATTTGAAAAAAAAAAAAAAGAAAAGAAAAAAAAAAGAAGAAAAAAAGATCAAAAGGTACTTGATTCAAAAGTTCAAAACGTGGGAAAAGCACTCTAAAGAACAGAAGTGGCAACACTGTAAACTAACCGTTTGTTGTGTGGCTGTAAGATTTTCCATTTCTTCATGTGTTACCCAGACATTTCCCGTGGTCTAATATGAGCCCACAGGGAATCAATCCCATCCAGTGAAAGGAAAGCAGTAACAAAGAGGAGAGGTTGCAGAACAAATAAGCAATCGGTACATGTAAGGAGCAGGCATGGGCAAAGCAATGGTGGCTAAAGTCAGGTACAGGTACATCTACTGAAAGTCATAGCATGCAATAAAAGCTACTGACGGGGACCAAATTCCTTCAGAGATTAACAAAGCTGAACATCATCAATAGCTTACACTGATTTAATCAATGGGTAAACACTTGGCTTACACTGATTTAATCAATGGGTAAACACTTGGCTCTGTCCTAATCCAAAAAATGCATTTGTAATCTAGTATGTAATCCCAGGAATAACTTTAGATTGCAGGGCACACAGACTCCTGAGAGACAGGTGAACTCCTAGTTTATACAGTCTGAATTATTTGGAGTTGATGGCCTGATATGTGGATTAAAAAAACCTCCAACTATTTTACAAATTTCTGCACACACATGTCTACTTCGTCTGTATTATAAATTTTGCCAAGGCCAAAAGATGAGGCAAATAACACACACCCTAAATATTTTGGATTACACATAATGAAATAAACTTCCCTTTCCCTTGAGAAAGAAAATTGAGTTATTCCTTCATTTAATTCCCATGAAAGGAAGAAACATCCTACATTTAAATAATGTGTTCCTTCTACAACTTAATGTTTCCATAAATTCTTAGTAGAAGCTCAAATCCTTCCTGTTACATATTTAGAGTGAAATTTTGGGAAATTCTAAAGATGTTCCATGCTGGATCACTTTCCTTACCGTCCTTGAGGTGGGAGGGGCAGATGGGCTTGTCAGTGACATGATTTCTTGGATGGCCAGCCTCAGCTTGAGCCTGTGCAGGGGGTTGCTGATCCCAATTTCCCGCTGTATTTCCGTGTCAGACAAGGCTGACATGATAGCACCACTTTTCACATTTGCTCGGCAAGCAGCCACATACCAGGCTGGCATCCCAACCCACAGCTGGAACACAAAAACAGGGAGTACACAGGATCTGGGAAGCAGTCCTAGCTTCAAAACCTTCAATTCTTTAGAAGGCTGTACACTGAGGGGGCTTTTTGTTTATTTTGGAAGGGCCACTTACCTCCAGCCACACAACCACAGTAGGTCCGTCCCACTGTGCAAAAGGCAAACCTTGTCTTCTGGCTTCCTCCAGCAGCTCATGCCTAAAATTACAGACACAGTCATGACATATAATTGATGTTACAATTTAAACACTGCATTCAAACTACCTTCTTTCCAAGAGTTAACTTATGCCTTATATGATACACTCCCTAAGGCAGGTACAGCACATGTACAAGGAATATGTAGGGATGAAAGCTGAACTGGACTGGAAATTTGAGAGCAGCAGAGATGCTGAATCTTCCCTTTCAGAAATTTTTGTCTAAAAGCCCTAGTGACACTCTAACCAACACTCCCAACCCAAAGAGGAGATGTCAGACTCATCTGGCAATTAAATTCTCAACTGCTGCAAAACTAGTGTTAAGGGTATAGGCATGTAATGCTGCTTGGCTATGCCCGTCTGTAAAAATTGATAAAGTCTAAAAAAAGCATATTGACACTGCCTTTGAAAGCTAGTTGTATATGGTTAAGCCTCCACTCACTCTCCTTAGAAATTCTGAAAAAACAACTTGACCTAATTAAACAGTTTTTACTGTTTTATGTTATTTATTCATGCCTGCAAATGTAGAATTAAGAAGATAAGCAGCAATACTACGGAACCAAGGTCCTACACTATGTATTTTCTCACTATTTAAATCAAATAAAATCTCCTTGCCTTCTGAACCGTGTCACGGGACAGATCTAAGATGATAAAATATTCAGAAATATATATATATATATATATATATATATATAAAAACACGGGGCATCTTGAACAGTGATTACTGACAGAGTAGGAGCTTTTTTTGCTACTAGTACAAAATGGATATGCAGCATTCAGGTCTTTTAGACATATATGGGATCCTCCTGTTATATTGGTAGATAATGCTAAAAAGCAATCAATGAAGTAATAAATATACTAGGAACTGTTTTATCAATAGATGGTACTTCACCTGCATGACAATAAATTCCTACTGCACCAGAAGAACCTCCCAATAATTTTTCCTAATTACATGTGCTGCCCAGAAATAGAAAAAAGGGAGGAAGGAAGGGACTACCAGACAACTGGTTATAAATGATTCTGAGGTACCATTTAAAGACTCAACAATTAAGGCAGAATAGTGTTCAGCAGTCAGTAGCTTAATAGTTAAATTTCACTAACAAAGAAGAGAAGACTATAAAAGCTAAACCATATTTGTACACTTCAAAAAGATACATCTATTTCTAAATTAGGAATAAAAGATCAGTTATTTTCCTGCTGCTGTGGAACACTTCACATTAATCCCACAAATCATTAGCCCTGAACACATTCACTTCTGCTTCGCTTTGTTGCTTAAAGTTTTAAAAATTAGTGAAAAAATTAAAATGCAAGAACAGATTAAAATGCTTAATACTGTATTTGCCAGAAAGGAATACAATGTTTTTTCCAAGAACTTTAACTTCCAAATTGATGTCTTTGTGATCCTTTTTGATGGTTGTATTGTATGGAGTTCAGAGAACTTCAGTGTAATTTCTGGGAGTTTTATAAATCTCACTGTGTACTTCATGTGAACCATGACACAGTAAATCCTTGGGAATAGTACAGGGAATATATCAAAAATTTAAGGAGAGGTTATGATGCAAACTTGAAACCCACGGTGGTATAATAATGCAGAAAAAGATTGTGTGGCTGGAACGGAGTGTTATGGGATGGAAGCAAACATGCAGAAATAGAATCAAACAAAATAAAAAATGTTTATACAGTATCTTTATACAGAAATTATTCAATGGATCCAAAGAGGAATCAACCATGAAGTGGAAAATTAATTGCAGAATTTGTTCATATGCAGTAAGAGATAAAAAATTTGCTTTCACGGGAAATCATTAAGCCCAAAACTCAAGATGTAGCACAGGCCCAAAGCATTTCAGAAAAAGAAGTCAGAGACAGCTGCTGTTTCATCTGCAAATGATACATAAATGTTTCTTTTCCTATAGCACAGAACTTCCCTTTTCCAACTATCCCCTTCCAGCTTTCCCAAGACATTCACTGCATTCCAGTAATATGTGATGAAATCCCTGAAAGATTACAACTCTCAGGCCAACTGAGTTTCACAGGCCATCCAATTCCCCCAGTTAGGAAGTGGGTGCAAAATCCAGTCTCACATCTTTGTGAGGGAAAAAAATACTGCAGTAGTGTCAGCAGTGTTAACAGATGGGATAAACCTGGTACTGTGAGGGACAAAAAAATGCCAAAGGAGTAGCTGGCTACTAGAATAACTCCTAGGTGACAAAACCAAGGGATAGATGTCTACAGACTTTAGCAGAAATTCACTTAGAATGGGAGCCCAAACATGCTGCTGCTTGTCGTTAGACACATTCCAGAGGCATCTCACACCACCTGTGGAGAACAAAGGAACTGTGGACATAGGGGATGAGAAATGATGTCCAAACTGCAGGTGACTGGTGGAGCAGGGAATGCACAAGACCCTTCAAGGACCATCTGAAGGATCTGTGTTTGGAATGGCTCTTGACAGACAAGGATACAATAACCCCAACAAGGAAAATAAAGCAGCCTTGAGCAAGCTCACTTTGTCACTGGACTAAGACAGCATGGGAATGGATAAACTCAGGCCTTGTAGCCAGAGGGGAATGCTGTATTCCAGATTTTCTTGGAAGGAACTGAAGAGAACTGATTTGGAAGAAGCTCAGAACAGAGAAAACACAGTAGTGGGCAGGAGGAAAGAGTGATACTGATGGAAGTGAGAGTTTAAAGGTGTAAAACCTGAAAAGCAACAGTAGACAACATGAAAATAACTGACCAACTTCAGGTAGAACGTCAGGGGAAATTTAATATCCTTATTATAGGTTTATTTCAGTTATGTAAATAAGCTTATTGTGTAAAACTTTAAGAGAGGTATCTTAAATTTAGGTTTGCCTTCCCTTTTGATTAATACAGTATTAAGTTTGTTGTGTTTGTACACAGAAAAGCACAAACAGTTGTGGCAAACATTGTCAATACACAAAGATGATGAACACAACACTAAAACCAACACAGGTTTAGTAAACAGAAGCAAGGGTTCTACAGAATTAAATCTACCTTGGAAACAAACTGCCACAAATACTTACTACTGCTAAACAACTTTAAAACCCCAAACTACAAAACTAATTTAATCTCAGTAGGGGTAAATATTTCCATCATAAAAATTCACACCATGCAAATTAAGACAAGACAATGAACTACATTTCACATTGCACTAGGTGACACTGGATTTATTTCAGCAACACATTTTCATAATATATTCTTTTGAATCTAGAATTTCCTCTCATAATCAGACTCTTTTGAAAAAAGTTAGAGCTTTTAATATATTGCTAAAAAATCCAAATGAGATCTATCATACTTCCACAAAAATCCCAATAAAATAAATATAAACTTACCCTGATTTTGCGCTACCACATGAAATGGTAAACAAAAGAAAAATAAAATAATGAAGGAAAAATTTAAAACTAGGATTGAACTGAACTCAAAGGCATACAAAAACAAATAATGTGGACTGTAATTTAATTCTGTAGCTATAAATAGGTTTTTGTTAGTAGCCATTGAATACTGCCCTCAGCTTGTTTGTGCACAGGCATGCAGAAAGCAGAAAGATAAGTAAGCAAATAGGGATTAGAGACAACTATAACTAGAAGTAGCTGTCATTGTTCCAAGTATTCAGGTAATTGGAATTCTTTCTGCGGAATACAAGATTTTATAAAAGCAAACAGTCAGCCCCAAGAATTTGTTTTAACCCACCGTCCTCCAATATCAAAATGAAAAGTAATTCAGAGCAGCTTTCCCACTTTTTCCTTTAGATATCCAGCATTGCAAGGGATCTTTGGTCCCTTGTGATAACATTGTTCAGAACATTGTTCAGAAACCTGCCAGGCTTCTGAAGCAGCTGCATTAAAATATCTTACTGGGATTTTTAAAATTAGTTAGATTATATTCATTTATTTGAAAAAAAGCCATGAGAAGGTTCCAGGGGGACCTTAGAGCCCCTTTCAGTATCTAAAAGGGCTCCAAGAAAGATGGAGAGGGACTTAGGAATACCTAGGGAAAGCTTTCATTTGTTTAAGACAGACACTTGCCTCTTAAGCAGTCAACAACATGCAGCCATAAATTACACTTTAAGTAGTACCAGTATAATTTTGAAGGGCAGAAATGCACTTTTTGCATTTCTTAAAGCAAGGCAGTGTAGACTGTTCTCCTTGAGACTGAAATTTGTGGTTGGCATTGAGAAATACCTATATTGATCAAAGAACAACCCTACCCACTATTTAGACATGACCAGACTAACTATTTATTCAACCAAGATGTGGGGTATCACTTTAAAGCTCTGTAGAAAAGGGGAAAATACCGGGTCATAATAACGTATGATTGCCTTCAGTGCAGCAGTCTGAGGAAAAACAGCTGAACCTTCTGTTATACAAACAAACCCACATTCCATTCCGACTTTCCAAACCAACACACTGCTGGTTTTCATTAGCAGCCACCAGGCATTATTCTTATTTGTTAAGAGAACTTACGTACTGCAAAAAAATCCCTCACAAAGAGAAAATTAACACACTTTTTTTTTCAATATTCACTGACTTCAGAAGGCAAGTAAAAAAGCAAGACCTGTCTGATCTTTGTCAGCTTTTTGACACAATAATGGTTGAACAGAAGCAACAGAAGTTCAAGGTATATGGTTCAGCTTTGGGTGAAAAAACGCAAAGAATGCCTGATCCTACTTACACAAATTTCAGTGTTTCCTGTATTACCAATTTAAGCCTTAAATCAAGATTTCTACTGCTAGCAATGTCTATTTTACACCTATAATTACAATCTTTGCTACATCTCTTCTAACTCTGGGAATAACAAGGATGCAAATAGATACTCAAAAGCTGAACAATAAAGAAGATTTCTTGGAAAAACAGTGAAAAAATTCTCATGACTAGGAAAAGGTAAACGCCTAAAAGGTGCCATAAAAAAATAGTCACAATAGATTAAAAAAGGGGAAATTGGCATTATATGGTGCAAGAAAAAAGATTTCAGCTGTTAAAATATATGACAGAATGTCAAGAAAACCTTAAACAGAAGTGAAAAAAATAAGTGAAGAGAAAAGCAGTTAGCAGCTATAACACAAAAGGGCAGAGAAGAAATAGGAAATTCATACAGAAGGATGTCAGCACTGAGCATCTTGTGCTTTCACTCTGTCAACTCCTTCACACTCTAGAGCAAGTAACAGCCTCAGACAACTTTAGGAAATTTTCCAACTGAATCCAGCCCAAAGCAGGTATTAAATATAACAAATTTTTTTGGGGGGGGGGTTGATAAGAGTCCATTTTTATCTCTGAGTTTATTACAGCATTCCAATAATAAGTTTTCAGCACTGAAATTCATTTCAAACTTACCATGACCTCTGCTACTATTGATGTTTGGAAAAAATAGTAAAAAAACCAAACCTTCAGAGGCTTATTAGCCATAGCAGCATACTAGCCAGAAATATCCAAAAATGAAACTAAAAAATAAACCACAACATTTTTAAAGAAAGCAATACTTTACCAACAGAGGACTAAAAATATTCGATAACTTACTTTTTCTGCATTTTCCTGTTTTTTTCTGCCTGACCTCCAAGCTTGCTGAGACCTAAGGCATCCTGAGAGGAACCATCTGCTTCTCCCATGCCGCCTAAAAAAAACAACCCAAAAACCAGCCTTATGTTCTCAATCAAGTATTTAATCCTTTGTAATATTACTGATCATGTACAAAGCCAAACCCCCAAGCCCACACCCCGTACAAAACAAAAAGCAAACCCACCTTGTCCTAATCCTTCCTTGCTTGTTTGTCCAGGTCGTCCCTTCTCCTTCTTGCCAAACAAGCGGCCGATGGAGGATTTGATCCCCTTCTTTTTGGGAGCTTTGTGAAGGGAATCTTGGCTACTGTTACTGCTACTGGGATTACTTGTTTGCCCATCTTGAGAACCTGTTGAACTTTACCCACAAAAAGTCATAAAGGAGCCCATGTAAAACAAATTCACCAGTGTAACAGTGAGAGACAAGTTCAGGGTTCTGTGCAAGTTGATTAACATTCAGTAACTCACTAATGACATCTAATTTCAGTTTTTATGAGTCAAGAAAAGAAATTTATCCATTAAAATACAAATAATTAAATAAAAAAAACAATGAAAACAATGCAAGAAAAGAAGACAGGGAAATAAAATCTATATACTATAATATGGAACTACAAGTCAATAGAAGTGTTTAAAGTGCAATTCAGAGAGGCTAAAATTGCCAACACAAGTTCCTGACCAACTGAGGCAGACAATGAAAGTTTGAAATACTTGAATGGAATCCATCCCAGGCACTTTGAAAAGTCCATCTGTCCATCCAAGTGATAGTTATTTTGCAAGTTATTTCTAAATTTATACCTAAATTCCAACTTGAAGAGCGGAATTGCATATTTCTCATTTCCTCAACATGAAGTAAACTTAATGCAGATTTGAGTACCAGAAGAATTCTTCATATAAAGCCATTTCTGATCATTAACAAAACTTGTATTCCTATTGTTTATGCAACAGTATGTGTTCATACTCTTGACTTTCAAGGAACACTTCAACATCCAGACTAAAATCCTACAGGCTGAACAGCTCTGCAGATTTAGGATTTTATTCTGATGATGTGAAAACTGAGTTTCTGGTAGGTCTGAGTGTCCCAGGAACTTACTTCCTGATGTCCCTGATATCTTCATGGCTCACTGTGTGCAAAGCTCCTTTCTGGACTCTGTCCAAACGCAGAGACCGAGGGGAAGAAGGTGGTGATGTCTCACATTTTATTGTGGTTTTATCATCTCGTACCTCTTCTCTGGAAGCTGGAGACTAATGGAAAAATCAAGGAAAACTTGGGGAAAAGCCAAAACACAAATGTAGCATCAACACTTCACAAAACATTGAAAGGAGAAATCAATTATTTCACTGTTAAAGGATTACTCTTGCCATTACCATTCTCCAGTTGCTTATTTTTGGCTTGACTTCTTTCTGAATTTCCTGTTACCTTCAGTGATAAACTACTAAATTTCAGTCTTAGCTACTGAAATAAGCCAGTAGCACTTATTTAGTTCATTCAGAGAGCTAAGAACTAAAGTAATGTAGTAGCACCACAAAACTAATGTACCTCACTTCAGTTAGAGCAAGTGCAAAAATCAAAAGAGTCCTGTGAAAAGGATCATTGGCAAGATTACTGACTTGATGAAGTCTTCATATTTGTGGCTACGGTTGATCTTAAAGTTTTAATAACAGAAATTATAACTTCACAGATCTTTAATATTAAACAATGATGCATCAAGACTGCAAAACAGTGGTTACAAACAGAAAGCAGCACAACAGTCTCCACACAGCAAAAAAAGGCAAACAAACAAAAAAAAACCCCACAAAACAAACCCACACTTATGCTAAAATGATAAACCATAATCTTGCTTTATTACAGAGTTACCCTGCAAATGCTTTCTTTTATGTTCCTGTTATCCAGTAATGAGTTCGGGGTCAGGGAAGGAGATGAAGGAGCACACCATTAAACAAACTAAAGATTTTTACCTTTCTACGGTGTTTCCTTAAATCACTAGGCTGACAGATGCATGCAAAGAAAAGAAATTTGGAAAAGCTGTATTTATTGTAAACTGCAGCACAGACTGAAACAACTAGTACAGAGACAAAACATCTTAGGGAGAATATAAAAACAATTACAACAATGGCACAGAGAAAGATACTGAGTATGAAGTACTCTTCAAACCACAGATTACTTAAAATGTATCCCAGAAGAGAGGAAGAGAAAAAAATAAACACTTAGAAACGGTTATCTACTGAAGTACTGTAGATGTTTGAGTGTATTGGTACTCCAGGCAAATTAGCACACAAAAAGTGCAGCATTTTCAGCAAGAAAAACAGTGAAGTGTTGCTTTTAAAAGGTGAGAGACTTCCCATTATGTGTCAAGGGCTTGCCTTGAACCTACATATCACCCACAGCAGCCTTAAATACACTGCCTGCACTAGTCCCTCCTCACAACTTAGTGGTTCCTGCAGCTCTTTCTTACATAGCACAAAAAGCAGCCAGTATTTAATAACCGTGAAAGACAGGAGTGCCAACAATAGTTGGTTTCTATACAGTAACAGGATTCTGTTCTAAGTTTGAAGTGCTGAAATGTTTGAGCAAGAGTCCACCACCAGTTTTATTTTACCCTCCATCCACTCCAGAATTCCTCATTTCCCAGGTACTGTTCACCTCTGCCAGTGCACAGAGCAAGGCAGAAACCTTGAGTTACACAAACAAGTTATTCCCACTGATGCTGATAAAAGTTAAATGTAGGTAATTTGTTTAACAGTTCTCATTATTTAAAAAGACAATAACCAAAAATAAAGTCAGTCCCCTTTTAAGTGGGACAAGGCGGGGGACAAGTGGGACAAGGAGGGTGTTGCTTCCCTCGCACAAAGGATGCCTTTTAATCATTTTTGATTTAGAATACATGTAAACTATGCAGCATTAATATGGAAAGTTTTGTTCAATCTGACTGTAGAGTACTACATTAATAAATCATCCAGTGAATCATAGAAGGGACCTTTAAAGACAATCTAGTCCCTCCCCAAGTTCTTGACAAAACACCTGACTCATTTTACTCTTGCTGGATCTTTTATCTATTAAATCTGATGCTCCATAAAAATGCAAATGTTTACTATATGGAATGAAAACTGTCCACAAAAACTGGCCAAGAGAGCTGTAGGCTTCACAGTTTATCATGCTGATGCTTTTTAATCATGAGGAGCTTTCAACTGACTGAACTGCAGAACCACTACTGCAGGTAGCCTTAAGCTAATTTGCCTACATGATCATAAACTGATGCAACTCCCTATTAAAACATTGAAAAACACAGTAGAACTATTATTTAGTCCAATAATTCATAACAGCTGTTCCAGAAGTTTCCAGAAAGCTCTTGTTCTGTAATTCTAGAAGCATAGCTTCTTGTTTTCAAGCTTTCACAAATCAGTTTCCAGGTACAAAAACCACCAAATGCAACTGCAAACGGCAGATAAAGTGACTTTGATTCAAAATTATGATGTAAAGTCAACTTTAATTACAGTTCACTTTTCTTCAATTACATTAGATTATAAGACACATTCTCCTAATCCAGTTTTTTGGAAAAGAGTCACTTAAATTTGTATACGGTTTTATGCATGAGAAGTACTTTGCTTATCTACTTATTACTGTGAAATGTTAAAAGATAAAGCACCTCATATCCTGAATTTTGATAGCACAATTAGTAAGTACAGTTTCCAAAACCATATGGAAATCTGGAGACAAGGTAAAGTGTCTAGAACTAAATCAGAAAAGAAGCTTTTCCTGGAGAGTGCTTGCAAATAAATACCAGTATCCAAGATGCTCCTTCCTGAAAGGTATCCTAAAGAAGAGAAACTGTTTATTTATGTAAAAATATGAAAGGGGAAAACTTGTATCTTGTTTTTACAGATATGTTTCCATGTACAAAGCAGCTCCTAGAAGGATTAATTTTTCTAAGCAGTCATCAGAATGTCAAAAGAATGGATCTATCTTTCTCAACTCACTGAACTGCTAAGCCTGAACTACTTCATCAGCCGCAAGGTCTAACAGATGTCTTTTCCCTACCAGTTTTAATAGCCTAAAACAGGACAGTAGCACTCATTATTAATAAAACAGCAGTGATACCACCACAGTCTTCAAGACTAATATGCAAATCACCTTTTAGCTGAATGTTTAGTGGAACAGTGGACTGCTAAAAATGAAGTTTAAAGCAGAGGGAGAAAGTGGTTGAAAAGAAAACATTATTTCTTGTAGGAAGGGGAGTCTGAAGAAAGACCATAACAACAGAAGGAATACTTAGGTCAAGATGACGAAATAATAGGAAAGTTTTTCCTAATCATTATGAACTGTATCTTACACTTTTTATAAATGTTGTAAGGAAGCAGTAGAAAAATCTAGAAAAAGGAAAAATACAGCTGAGTAAGAAGGAGAGGAGGGGGAAAATCAAACAACCCATTTCCTAGAGAAAAGAAACGCTCTTCCAAAAAAAACCTGGAGTTAATGGGCACTTACCAGTGTCATGATCCCCAATCTGTCCACTTCTCGAGCTGGGCTGTGTGGGATCCGCCTTGGGGTGGAGCGGCCACTGCCAGGGGGGGAGGAACCAGCCAGGGAACCACTGGCATAGGAAGGAGGGATGGAGCTCATGGAGCGGAACCGGCCATGGGCATCCAGGCTGCCACTGCCCACCCTGCTTTCAATCTCCTCTGCTCGCTGCTCCGTGTTCTCCTTCTCTTCTTGGATAAGTCTAAGGGATAAAAGAGTTTTAAAGGAATGTGACATTCAAACAAGGGCCATATGACCAGAAGGAGTGGGGCATTAGGAAGGATCAGTACAAAAGGACCGTTTTCCAAGTGATTTTTATCAAAGCCCTGACAGCAGAAAGGCCATACCTGATCTCTTTGTTGATGGCATCCAACTGTTCCTGAAGCATTATGGCCAAAGTCTGAGCATCAGCCTGACCACTTGGTGACAGCAGATCAACTGAGCTGAATATGGTCTCTCTGTCATCCTCCACATCAGACACATCAACATCACTCTCAAATGCTTGTGCCACATTTGCCAACACACTTGCTTGCTGGGCTCGCTCCCAATCCTGCTCATTCAGAGTCTGAACCTAAAAAATCCATGAAAAAAAATCCAAACTCAGTGGACAAAAACATGATGTTTCTATTGATTTTCAAGATGTTTAAAATAATTTTTTAAAATCTACTTACATGCTGAATGCATCCATTAAGATAGCAGTTTTTAGAGAAATGTAAAGAAAAAAAGCTAAAATGTAGGTAACTTTTAAATTTCATTTCACTGGAAGATGCAAAATGGACAGGCTTATTGAATAAATTCAAACATCACATATCTTGGCTATACACACTTTGAATTATGGTAGAATTTTGCTATCAATTCCTTGCAAATTTTGGAATCAGTCCTGAAAGGGACTTGAAATAGTTTGCAGAACAGTAACACATTAGAATAGTGTATAGACACAGAAGTAGGACTGTTTTAAATTATATTTTATAGGTCTAGCAAAATTAAAAACCAAAATTTGAGTTCAAAACCATAATCTTGCAATTTTTGCTAACAATTACAAAGACCAGTAGCGGTGCATTAGTTAGTGAAAGAGGATCTATAAAATCTACTTTATTGCTAGGTACTCCAGTTCTAAAAACTCCTTACAATGATTAGCCCTATGTAATCTATTTTTTCGTCACAGATTTATTTGTATTTTCATTTCAGAGTTCTGTTACCTTTGAAGGTTCATCTCTGAGAGCTGCCAAACGTCCCTTCTGGGGACGCCTCAGCACGGAGGAGGTGCCAAAGGAGTCTGTGTGAGTGTCACCCACAGAGGAAGATGTCATAGGGAATCTGAAATCTGGTCTGCTGGTACACACAAACAATCATTTAGCTTTAAAAAGGGAAGGGAAGAGGGAAAGAAACCAAAAATATTCACCCAAATGATTTCTCTCTTCCTACTAGTGCCAATTGCTTTTAGGCACTGCATAAAAACTGTCTTATATGCTCTATAAAAATAGGTTTTATAGCTATATAACACAAAATTACATTTCACATAGTGACTTTAAAGAAAATAGAAAAAATTGAAATACTGCTGGTACCTATGATGGAGTGATGTGGCTCTGAGTCTCACTTGGTCATTTTCAGCCCTTAATGCATCAACATTTATTGCAAGTTGATCCTGCAAAAATAGATACATCAAATACATAACAATATGCCTTCAGAAAAAACAATCAGTATCAAATAGGGATTTATAAACTAACATTTAAGATTTTGGTCTCATTTCTGTGAAACTCAGAAATAACAGATTTTAAAACACACCCATCAACAATATAAAATGTAAAAATTGGTTTTGTTGCACACAATACAGCACTGCCACAAAAGGCCAACCCAGAGTAATTCTGCTGCCTCTCTACGCTGACTCTAGTAATGACAACATACATTTTAAAAACAGCAATGAAATAAAATTCACATGCTACTCACTTAATTATTATAAAGTGATAATAAGAAGAAACAAGAAGATTTTTCCAGCTCTCTGCACAGAAGGTTCTAAAAGTATTCACTTTGAACTTGGACATTTTGACACACCCTAGAAACTCTGAATTTAACAGCAGAGAAATCCAATGAATGAGAAAACAAGAGAAGACCAATAAAAAGTGGCTGATGATGAACATCTGTGCCTTGTGTGAAAACTGCTGGCCTACACATACAAGAATTCCACATTTTGCAGAACATTCTTTAACATTCTTCTTTTTATTACAGAAGCACAGCCTCCAAATCCTGTCCTATAGACTTACCAGAGTGATGTGGGGAGGTGCAGTACACCTGTGATTTAACAAGCTATAACAAGTATTATTTCAGAACAGATGCTGTGACCACAAAATCAACTGCCACTGCTTAAGGATGCAAAGATACGAAAGGCCACGCCACTTATTTAAGGAAGGAAAAGTTGTCATTTCCAGGGCAAGCACAACACCAGACAGATGCTATTAAAAAAGCAGCAGCCAAGTCTAATAAATTAAAGAAAATTTTTAGCAGTTGCACACGTATTTCATACTGAAAGCTTTAAGAAAACCTTATGGGAAAATGCTCAACATTAAAAATGTATCTCTTTTCTTTTTGCTGTTCAAGGTCATATGTACAAACATATAAAAATTCTACACAATCCCCAAGCTTGGGCAAATTGCCAACATACCCAGGCACTTTACATATTCAGAAGTTTTTGAGTAAAAGGTTATGTATTACCTATAAAAGCCTAATAAAACTGAGGCACACAATACCATAAAATGAACAACTCCCTTCTTTTAAACAGAGCAGGTAATGTTAAATTCTGTGGGGAATTAAAACCTGATCCTGCTATGTAGCAAGGCAGCAATGATGCTCCAACAGAATATTTCAGAAAGGCAGAGTGTACCTTTTCATGCTGAAGCTCCTCTATTTGCTTTTTTGCATTTTCAATTTCTCGAAGAAGTGAATTCTAAAATAAAAGGTATCACAGAGTAAGTCACTTATAAAAAGCTTTACACTTTTAAACCATAACCATGAGGAGTATCAAAAATAATTCAGTCAACATTATACATCTTAAATTAAAGATACTTTTTACCATCATTTCACTTTGATTATAGCTGAAGGTTTATCCTTCCGGGTGTACAGCCCTCTAAATAATGGATTTAGTAATAGTACTGGTTCCATAAATTTTTAATAGCAATAGCAACCTTTTAAAACTGCATTTGAAAAAGTCTGACTAGTAAAAAAAATACAGAATAATTAGGCAGCTAAAATAATTTAAAGTAATTCACTGAGTGGTTATTGAGATGACTTAGCAGCCATTATCCTTAAGTTTTCATTCTATTTGCACTTGCTTGACCTAAAAAAATTACTACACAGTAATTTCTTGGATATACTGTACTTTCAGAACTGCAATACTCACTGAATTAAGGGTTTTTCTTAACATTAGAGCTGTTTCAAACTAGAGATTCCCCCTTCTGATAGGAAACTTATAACTGGTTCACTTTCTTTTCCTTTTCTACCACAGCCAAAACAATTAACAATTTCTTGATTAACAATTTCTTGAGGTTGTTAATACCTTTATTACATGTTTTAGATGAACTACAATTTCATATGTGAAAAAATAAATCACTCTGGGAAAAAGACCAAGTGATCAGAACAAAGTCTTAAAATTTTACCTGCACATTTCTTTCTAACTTATCATAAAAGAATGAGCTGGAAGCCTCCACAAGAACAATTCTCTAAAAGCTGTTACTTAGAGTAAAGGACAAGCAGATTTTCCTCATTACTCATGAAAGAAGTAATGGAAGATAGGAGGGAGTTTGGGTCAGCCCTAAGCCACCCCCCAATATGCAAACATTTAAAAAAAACAATGCTGTCATCTGTTTCTTAGAAATTGAATTTAGAAAGACTGTTATGACTGTTGATATCACAACATGGCCCATAATCAGAATTTCTGAAGCAGTTGGTGATGTTGAAAATAGTGTTGTTAACTAGGAAACACAAGGCAAAGTTTGCAGCCTTAGATGCCAGATAAGCACCTTTATCATCAACTCGAAGGATAACAGTAGGACCTATGTTTCTTCTGCACCACTCAATTCCTCCCAGCTCTGAGAGTATAAAAGCAGGGCAAGGAATGAACTAAATCCCTGTAATGATCTGAGAGTCCTGGAATTATGGAAGGATGTGTCAGACACCTGACTGATGGTTTAGGGATGAGAACTGAATTGAAATGAATGCAAGAGGAAGCAAACATTTAGTAGAAGTCTGAAAACATCATTCTACTTATTGAAGTGTTTTATTGTCATGACTTTAAAACAAAATTCACACAGCTTTTACTGAAACATTTTCCCCAGATGATCATTTCAGTCTCCAACAAAGGAAACCAAATATTTTTTTAATCCAAGACAAGGCAATTCTAAATCAGCATCAAGCAAAGTGCCACTTTAGAAGACCTTGCTTTGTTGGATGCAGAGTAAGATAATCTAACTTAAAAGGTATGTGTGAAAGAAAAATCCATAAGGAACTACATCCAAAAGCAGAAGAGAAAGAAAAACAGTAAAAGTGTGTCACAAGTTGAATGCTGGGGAAAGCTCCAAGGGGTGCATTGACAGTGCAGGGAACAGCCCAGTTACATTCACATAACGAGTCCCAAAATGATCTACCTGGGAAGAAAACACAACGTTGTTTCAATTTGCAAGAATCCCACAAGGACTCAGGGGAATTGGTATAGCCAAAAGCAGTGGGAAACAAAAGAAACTGAACTAAAAAGGCCAAAGTTCTAGTCCTAATTCTTTAGGCTTCCTGTATTATACTGGATGAGCCTATTTATGCAATCCACACCAATCAACCAGGAAAGGATAAAGTTGCTTAAAATTAAAAGATGCCTTCTCAACACTGCAGTGCAATGCCCAGGGACAGTCTCAAAAAACTTGAATTTTATGTACATATTTTCAAAATCCACACTAAAAAACAGCCTTAAGAGAAACTATTTATTAATAAGGATTTCATATTTATTTACTGAAGTTACAGATGTGTGCAAACTGCACAAATCACAGAATTCTGAGCATTCTAATTAATGTATGTGCTGGAATGTGACTTGTTACCTTATCTTCTAGGGCAGCCATCCTTTCCTTGAGATGCAGCTGGAGCCTTTCATTGGATTCAGACAGAAGTTTATCAACAGTTTCTGACAAACGTTTATTATGCTCTTCATTCATCTTTTCTCTCTGTCTAGCCTAAGATACAGAAAAGCTACTGAAATAACTTCATATTTTCAATGTCTATAACAATTTCCAGGTTATAAAGGCAGTAAGCTTTCTTTAACAGCAATATTTTTCCAGAGAGGAATACTGGATGGACCTCCAGGACTCTGAGGGAGTATAAGGGACACTTCACAGTTTAATAACTGATCCAAAATCAGAAGTTTGAAAATCTGAGCCTATATTAAAAAAAAACCAAAAAACAAAACAGAATTCAGAATGAATTCCATTATTTATAACCCAGAAACCAATTTTTCTATAATCATTTAATTCAGCAAGTTTTTGATCTCTCTGTTCATCAGAAAGTATGAACAGTAATCAGATATGAATAGTAATAGTAATATTACCAGTAATATTGAATATATTTTATTGAGTATGTGAATATATATTGAGTTTAAGAATAGTAATCGGATATTTTCTATTTTCAAACTTTCATGGCAGACTTTCAGCTTGCCCTTGAGATTTAAGGTGAGACATAGTACAGTGACTCAAATCTCCCAAATATCAGCCAGCCCAAACTCCAGCTTTCTTTTAAAGAGAGAAATAAAACCAGTTTTGCTGAACAGTAGCAGCCATGAAGGGGATTGAATTCTTTCTTTCAGCTCTATATCTTTGTCAAAATTATGTACAATACCCTTAGCAGTTCTTGATTCTTCTCCTCTAGCTGTGCTTCCATCTGCCTCAGTCGTTCCTCGATGTTGCCATGTCTCTCCTCAGCCTGTCAATTTGAAAGCAAAATTAGAATTTGGGTGGGGTTTTTTTAAGGTTTCAAAAGTACAGAAACATTGAAGCACAGTAACATTTCTAACATGCTTTGCACAACCGCCATTTATGGCAACACAAAATACAGAAAAGATGCTTTTCTGTCACCAAAAACCTTGCAAGGGTTCATATGCGAGTAGCAAAACGAGGAAACTTCTCACCACAAATCCACTGCTCTTTGCAAATGAGCTTGCAAGAGCAGAAGTTCATTCACATCCCCAAGAATTAAAAAAGAAAAAGAAAATAAAAATAAAAACTAAGTGCATTTTCAGCTTTTCCTCACTAGTCTGGAGGATGTGACCCTGTGTTAGTACCCATGACAAAGCAGAAAGCAGCAAGCAGAAACAAGGACTAAGATACAAATTCTACCTTCCTAAGCTTGGTGGTAAGTTCCAACACTTTTGCATCTTTAGCAGCAGATCTCCCAGGAGACAAAAGGTCAGACTACAGAGCCAGTTAGAGATAGGAAAGATAACAGGGAAAGAAATGAAACTAAGACTTTCAAAGAAAGCGCGCACACACACTTGAAAAGGCTCACTTGCAGTTACTAAATATAATTCTTCACACTTCATTAGCTCATTTGCGGCCCTCTAAAAACCTTGATATTTATTAGTATCATTACTTCTCTTGCTCCCCATACTCTTCACTTGGTTATCAGTGAAAGGATTTTGGGTTTCCCCTTCAGAAATAGTTCACGTTTAGAAGGATTTTATGCCTAACATTGAATTGATTTTAATAAAGAGCACCAAAGTAATAATTCAGAGAGACATTTTCATAATGTAACATCATTAACAGAAAACCTGCTCAAGTTCCAAAGAGCAGAGATTTTTAAAAAAAAATTTAAAATAAAAATAAAAATCAAGAAGAGTGTCTTCAGAGAGGTGAACGGGAAAAGTAGAGAGAACAGGGATAAATATTTTCTGAATTATTTGTGGGAAAACCAGAATGTAACAAAGCCAACACTAACACCAGATTTCATGCAGTGGAATCAATGGAGAACAGAGTCTGGAGGACACCGTCCAGGGGGCCTCACCTTTGTAAGTGCTGCAACTCTCTGGGCCAGCTCAGCTTCCACCTCTGGCAAAGTCTCAGCCTTTCTCAGGGTCTGCTGCAACTTTTGCTCAGCCAGTTCCAGTCGTTCCTGTAATTGCCTGTTCTTATCTTCACTCTGCACAGGATCACAATCAAAAATGCTTAGGGTTAAAAATGGTAATTAATTTTCAAAGCAGCAAAGAACAAGCTGTGAATCTTCTACATCAAGGCTGTGCTAAGGCAAGGGACAAATTCCTCCATATTTTAAATAACACTATGCATATTACTGCAAAATTTAATTTTTTTTTCAAGTGTGTACAACTACTTTTATGAATTATACCAAAAGGAACTTCTCTTGTTGACAAAAAGTTGCCTGCCTCTAATTAGAAAGCGATTGGCTAAACAACCATTTCTGGTTTATAAAGCTGGACTTTCCTGTCAAGCATATGTCAAATTTCCACTCCCAGTAAAGCAACACTCACTTCTGTTACAGCCTGTAAAAATCACTACACACTATACAAGTTTTAAAAGGTTTCAGCTTAGAATGAGTCATTCTTACACACAAACCTAAAGATGTTTGGATATACATATAACAACTTAAAAATCCACAACTAATAGGGACAAAAGCCATGATGAAGTGCACTGAAATTCTCTAAATCATTTCCCCTTCCCAGTAAAACTGTGTCATCTTCATTCCCAGGGTAAAACTCTGCAATGTACAACTCCAATTACTGAAAAACAGTCACTACCAACAGCCCATTACAAATGACATTTATCTCCCTAAAAGCAAAGTGCTTCAGTAGAGCATGAACATGAATTATTTCCATCAGTTTTATGCCGAGCAAAATGCACTTTATCTTATTTCCAATCCCAACCTGTCTGTGCATGGAGTCTTTAGTGGCAATTTCATTTTCAAGTTTATCATTGAGGTCGTGCACAGATGTAGCTTCACGTTGCGCAGCGAGGTAGCGTTTCTCAAGAGTTGTAATTCTCTCTTCCATGTCTTCCTTTTGGGCCATAGTCTGTGCAAGATACAAAGCAGAATTCAGAATATGAGAGAGAATTATTTTGTGATCAAACTGGGGGGCAAACCCTAGAAATAATAAAAACTAAAAAATCTGACATTTCTGTTATTTTTCTCTGTATAAAAAGAAGTGGAAAGAAGAGCCTCACTTAGGCTTACAAGTTCAATTACTTTTTTAAAACGGTGAATGATTAAAAAAGACTTATCTTTATTATCTTATGCCACAGATCTGCTACTTACTTTTTCAATGGTACAAACATAGCAAATCTTGATGTGCTGGGAATGGTCAGAGAATGCTCTTGGACTTAACTAAGCACCCTATTTAACTTCTACTTAATTACAGTACACTGCAATAAACGGGACCTCAGAGATTAGTGACTGATCAGGAACTGTCAATGACAGCACTGAAATTAAAGTGATTCTTCCTCTATGTACATCTTTAAAAAATTTAAACTTTATGAATAAGCTTAGCTTTTATGACAAGATCAAGTATCTTTTCAAGAACATGGTAAAGCTTGCAATGTTAAATCTCCAATATATTAATGAAATATCTAAGTCATAGATTTAGCATGAAGATAAATTGTCTTAAGCAACTGGTCTTTTATATTAAAGAAAGAGATCATGCCCTGAACTATTTTCTTCTCATCTATCAATACAAAGACATTCAAAAGCATAAAGGTTCAACTGAGCACCAATAAGACTAAAATTTGATAAAGCAGTTGCATTTGGGACTCCCCAGATTCTGTCAGCTCCCTCCTCACCTCTCGTACATCTCTCTGTAACTTTGTATTCATTTCTTCAGACTTTATCAAGTCTTTTCTGGCTGTGTCAAGATCTTCTTCCAACTCTGCCACTCTGCTGGACAGAGCAGTGAGACGTTCTTTCATTTGTGTCTGCTCTTTGTTTTGCTTATCTATAATGTCTTGGAGTTCAATCACTTTAGCAAGGTTTTCATCATGGCATAAAGAACCATCAGAGGATCTCTATTAAACAGGAAAAAAAACCAACTGTATTTGGCATGTTGCAAATAAGATTGAAAAACAAACTGTTACTCACCTGTAAACACCCCTCCACAAGGATAATTTTATTATTGGATAGACTGCAAAAATTGAAAATGTGGTAGCTAAGACTTTTTAATTAGATGATCATGCAAAAATATCTTATTATAGTTTAAAATTAAAATGTTACAGGTAATGATTAAAAGTCAGATATCAAGTAAATAGCTGTACCTTCCCATTTGTAGTCGGTGTATTTTCTTGTTCATGATTTATATCCAGCATCCCGTCTGGAAGTGTTTTCTTCTGATTATTTTGCTCTTTCAGAATCATTAACTAAAAGAAAAGTTTACACACACATGTTTCAAGTCAATTTCTTTCTCACTAATAATATAAGGAACAGCTGAAAAAACAAAGGAGTAAAATAACAATTACTTATTCTACTGCGAAGTATTTATTAATAAAACAGCACAGGCACCCAACTTAGGCCACTGCAACCCAAAAATTCTTATTTTAAACCCATATGAACTCTTTCCTTTCTTTTATTTTGTTTTCTTTGGGGGCTTTTTGGTTTTTTTTGGGGGGGGGCAGGAGGTGTCAGAGGGTTGAGGTTTGTTTTTTTCCCCTCCTGCTCTTTCAAAGCAACTGAGTTAAAAATTAATTGTTGTTCCATTTGGCAAAAAACCAATAGCAAGAAGCAAAAGTGAAACTTAATAAACTACTATGTATTTTATTAATATTGACTAAACTGCCCACAATGCACATATGAAGACTTAACTTTTAAGACAGAAACCTACCTCTTTATGTGTAGTACCTAGTTCTTCTTCCAATAAACTACATCTTTCAAGTGCTACTCGTAACCTCTCCCTTACCTAAAAAGATAATTTCAAATTATTTGAAATCATTCAAATCAGAAAGAAATCAATTTCATTTACTGTCATGCCCTTTCAGATAATAAATGACACTATTTCCATTACACCTGCCTAATCTGCAGTCAGTACTAATTACAACACAAAAAAATAGCCAAATAATGTGTATCTTAAAAATCTAGTTTTTCCTTTTTTGTCACAAGCAAATAGTATTTCAAGATGACCTGTAAATTTAGGCAAGAATTAAACATGCCCAGAATTTGCTTGTTCTTTTGCAAGGCACAGAGTGTGTAGGCTTTTGCTTATTTCTGCTTAAAAAGAAGAATTCTGCCTAAAGTAATTTGCCAGATTTTATATCCAAGGGTCACAAAAGTCAGGTAAACTGTGAGTTGGCAACAAAACTCACAGTGAACTTTAAGACTTGCATATCCTGCTGCCAATATCAAGCACAGCTGAAGGGAGGGGTTCCTTTAATTCAGCTTCATATCACAGTGTAAGCAGACTCCTCTCTTCCTGTTCTCTCTTCCTTGTATTACATAATCAAAAGACTAAATTCTGATATTGTAGAGCTAAGCAACTGTATGCAATCCTACAGCAAATATATTGCCACTGAACCATGCTGAGTTTACATTAACAGAGATAATGAAATACTAGAATCAACCACAGCACCTTGATTTATTTCCACATTAATTTAGGAGAGCAGGTACTGGATGTAGTTACAGTTCAGAGATTTCTACAGCTTTAGCACAAAATGGCCCACACAAAAGAGGGGACAGGATGAAGCACAATATTTCATTACCTTTTCATCAAGGGCTTTATGGTGCTCAAATAAAGATTTTAGTGCTTTGAGAACTTCCACTTCACTAGAAACTCCTGCTGGAGACTGAGCTTGCCTCTTCACCACAGTCATTCTCAGAGATCGCTCATGCCTGGAGACAAGACACTCCAGATGTTCCAGTAACAGCTAAAGCAAGAAAAAGGAACAATGTTTATTCCTGTTCTGAAAAGCTGCAGAAAACTTTGCCTCCTAGAACATTAAGTTTTGAGCTCTAAACTTCAAATCTCAGAGACAAAGAACGTTGTATCAAGAGTAAGGACCTGTTTTTAACATTTGACCTGCATTAGCAGCGTAAGCTGCTCAAACAGATCCCTACAACCCACTCACTCTGCTCCTCTGATCCCAGGAGCTGTGTGATTACAAAACTTTCACAACCAGAAAGCTGAATGGCAGACACAGTGCAGTCTTACAAGCTTTTCCTGATTCCGCACAGCAGCATCTGGAGCTGTGCATATAAGCTTCCAAACTTTCTTAATCAACATACATTTGCACTTCCACGGGGATTCATGTGCAAATATTGGGGAAAGAAACACTTCTAGCTTTTCAAATTCAACATTTAGTGTTTTCCTCCATTCCTTAACAATGGTGAGCTTGGAGAAGACAAGGAACTAACCCTGGTATTATTTCTTTCTGCTTTCAGTTCAGCGATTTCTTCTTCCCTTTCCAGCAGCTGCTCCCTGCATACATTGAGCTCTTTTGTAAGTGCTGCAAATTCCTGGAATAAACCAGACAGAAATATCAGGATACAGTGAGAGTGGATTCATGTGAACACCTGACAATTTCTTGAAGCATTCAGATGACTAAAGTCAATACAATTTACAGTCGTGCTTAGGTTCAAACACTTAAAACCTTATGTTACCAACTGTAAAGACAAAAAAAAAACCTGTGAAGACAAAAGATGTTTGACCAGTACTTTTGAAAACTCATTTGTCTCTCAAGGCAATTGTCTGAGTTGGGGTTTCCCTGGTTTCATCATGGTTAGGCTTTGGGAACAAAGATTTAGGAAGGCTTGTAACAAAGGTGGTTTCCCTGGTAAGCAAAGGGAAAAACACATTTGTAATGCATTTTATTATGGATTCAAAGAGCTGTTTCTTTTGTGTATTTGTTTTGTTTGTTGTGGGTTTTTTTTAACAACTGCTAAGGGAGACACAATAAAACAGAGCCCAGTAAAATAAAGAAATCAGAAAACATGATAAACTTCAAGTCGGGATGTAATTGTGAGAGACAATGCATAACCCTGCCATCTACCAGAATACAGCTACATACTGGAATTTCATTTATGCCTTCTTTGAAGTCTCACAAAACAGAACTGAAGCAGTGCTTTCCCTACAGTCCTGCTGGAAATCTCAGAGGATTAGAATCAGAATTTTCTCAAAGCCGAGCCCTTGGGTTCAAAGCCCTCACAAGGCTCACCCTTCAAATTCAGTAAAGATCTCACCAAACAAAGCTCAACCAAAGTGAAATAATACAGAGTGAAGTGTCATCAGGGAACAGGAACTGAGGTAACTCAAACAGTTACTGCATGTTTATTACTACAGTGAATACAGAGTAGTCAACATTAAAGAGTACCTTTCTACAGTTTTGGGTTTCTGTCAGGAAATGATTATAGCAGTATCTGAAAGAGCCACTCCTTCCTACACCACTTCTGCTCTCTATCAACAGCCTCACTAAAAATATTCAACATAAAAGGCATTTAAATGTTTTATCATCTCACAGAGCACACCCTGAATAGAATAAAAGGTACAACTATACACCACATTTAGAAGCAAATACAGAGCATAACCTTATCTACCTACCTACTCTGGCATAATTTAAGTTGTAATCTGAACCACGTTGGCAATTAGAATTCATGCAAAAAGTAAAGGTGTGAATGTGGACAAGTCCATGTTGTAGAAAAAAGCTTGTAGGAAATGGGAAAAAAACTTCATGTGCTACCAACACAACTTAGGATGTGAAAATAGATATGCATCTGTCACTCCAATGGCCAGTGAACACTTAAGAAGCACTTAGATAAGAAAACATTGAAATACTAGTAAATAATACTCTTTTTTGTTGTAAAATAAGGAAAACACTAATAAACAAGTGACGTGTCTAACAAACAAGACACTTATTTAATAAACAATGGATTGGTACAGCTGAACTGGTGATGATCAAAACAAGGTGAACACCACAAATGACCACCTAAACGGAGACATACCATGTGCACAAACACTGTTTCTCTAATTTTTTCAAACTCTGCAAAATATACTGTTTAACAGATAGTAGCGGCATGTCAAGTGAAAGCTTCAGATGGAGCTGTTTTGTAGCAAAATTCAAAGTGGCAGGAGGCACATGCTTAAAAACAAAAGGCCACATCAACCAATTACACTACACTCTGTAAATTTTAACTTGCAGCTAAAACAGCCAGACACAGTCCAAGGACACTGCCATTTCCAAGATTCATTGGGAAAACTTTATTCTAAAATACACATGTGACTGAAGAGACAAAAAGTCTGTTGCGCATTACATACTTACAGTGAACTCCTTTGGAATTAGTCATGTATGAGGCTTTTAAAAGTGGTAAAGACAGTAATCCCACCGTCACAGATGCAGAATCCACCCCTATAATCCCTCTTCCTAAATAAAAACCTGCTTATTGGAGGAAAGTTTCAGTATAGTCTCCTGGTTAATCAGCAAATAACTGCAAAAAGTCTAAATTTATTTTCTTTTTTCAACTGCTAAAAAAATTACTTCTCTACCACACTTCATAATTACACACATAAATATTTCACTGCAATATTTTATTTGTATTCTTAAAAAAAAAAAAAGAAAGAAAGGCCTATTAATTTCAAAATGGCCTGGAAATACACTTAGGAAAAAAATTAAAAGTAAATCCAGCTACTGGAACTTTTATACACACAACTACAAAAGGGTCCTGGGTGCAAGTAAATCAAGAAAAATCTACTTCAGGCTTCACTGGAGCTGACAGAAAAATTGCCTCTACTACAAGCTGTTCCTTGACATCCAAACTTTTCCTATACCTTCAACATCCCACCTGTGAGACTTTCCAGGACTCTGTGTGAGCTTCACCAGCTGTGTACTTGAAAGGAAGTCTATTCACTCCTCAAATGGTTGTAGCAAAGAGAGTTCTATCCCACTGCATACTTGTGTGCAAATATAAACTGTAGCACAAATACATCAATTCTGACACGAACCATCACCCTTGTCAGATGACCCGAAACAATAGAGCACCCAGGAATTTATATTGCTGCTGCATAAACACATTGGCATGAACTTCTGGCATTGCACAATAACCTCCACTGCTGGGTGTTTTGACAAAATACCGTTGCTTTGAGTCCCGTGAGCTGCCTAATAAAGAACATTTGAATGTCCTTAGTTTCAGCTGACACTGCCAAAAGATATGTCCTTTCTAGTTTTAATACCTACCTCCACTGGTAGACAATTTGTGATTTCCCCAAGCAGCTCAGGAGAGAAACTATCTGCAACTTTATAATCTCCAAAAATTCTGAGTTGTCTCATAATTTCTTCTTCGGCATTAGATGAATGTACAGAAAGAATTAAAGGAAAAAGGGAAAATCCTGAGAAACTTTCCTACTTATCCTAAAAGCTGATTATTTTTCAGTAATTAAGAAGATTGAGATCATCAGTTCTGCTCAAAATAACAAGTTGACTAGAATGGCACTCACAACAAGCACTTTCAGAGCACACACAGAAGAGAGTGCTAAATTTTCCAAGGAAATATTCCCTGTTGATCAGAACATTCTGGCAAACACCCATATGCTACACTAAACTGAAATGTTTACTGGAGAAAGTCAATTTCTGACCCAACTGCATCATTCCAAATACATCTCTCTTGCTGCCAGAAATAAATACTCTCAACAAAAAGCTACATCGAGCAAGTAAATTTGTTCCTGTTCAGCAATACATCTTCAGGGGTTTTTTTGTTCACAAACTCTATGATTTTTTAAAGCAAGAACACTTCTTCTCCACCAACCTTCAGAACTGACCTCCAACCTTTAATATTTTTGAGGTCACAATATAAACATCCTTTCAAAAATTGGATCAACTGGTACCTGGCTGTAAAGCCTGCACATTTCTGATGTCTGAGCTGACAGACACTTGGGTACTTCCAAGATCCCAGTCCAGGAACATTAACAGCTTTCAGGGAACAGGTTTTCTTCATGGTTATTACGAACATAATTTATAGGCTCCACAGATAGTACATGACAAACCAATAAATGCTAGATGACAGGAAGACTATATTTAACCTAGGGGGAAAAACTTGAAAGGAACACAGGTAATCCCTGGACGTCTGTTAATATAAGCTGTGTATTAGGGATCCTCTACAGACAACAAACTGTAAATTTTCTTGGAATTTGATCAAGAAAAAAAACCTTATTCCACAAGAAATGCAACACCTGTGAGTGCATAAGGAATCACAGATTAAAGGCAACAACACGGCCAAAAAACATATAAAGGATGGAAAGATATGTAAAGAAAACCCCAAACATTTTCAGTTCATCAAAGAACATACTACTATTAAAGTACTGTAAAATACCACTGTTAAAATACTACTTTTAAAGTAGTAACTTCAGGCAACAGAAACATAAAGTTGCAACTGTTGCATATTTAGGAACATCTCTGAGAGAAATATATGAGTGGAATTTATCTCTTTAATCTCCAAGTAATATTTTGTTTTACTGTCATTCTGGTTTGTAGCCTGAATGTCAAACAACTCACTCACAAAGCTGAGCAGCTGAAAGGAGCACAATAAGAACAAGTGGGGAAAGTGCAGGACATCAGGGATGGAAACCAGTGGGATCTGCGATAAGTTTCCAGCATGATGTTTACACCATATATAAGCCACAATTATTCCAAATGATGCATGCATGGAAATGACAAATATACACTCTTAAGGAAAACAATCAAAGAAAATTTAAATATTTAAGCTTAACAGGGTATTTCACAGTCACTTCACTTCAAGGGTTTTAGGGAGCACACAGGGACCAAGATCCCCAATGTATCTGAAAGTTCCTAACAAGCAAATTTAGGTTCAACCAGTTTTGGTTTGGGTTTTTTAGGCTAAGAATCAAAACAATGAAATACTTCAAGGGTATTGAGAATTAAAACTGAAAAGAAATTATGTTTTCATCATTAAATCCAGCCCTCGAAGAAAACACAGTTACACACACTTTAACAGCAACAAATCCAGAAAAAACAAACCACCAATACACATTATGCTTGGCCTGTTCCACGTAATAAAACAGATTGCTTTCAACCTTTCCATATCTCTGGCATGTGCTAATGGGAAAGAGAAAAATCAGCCTGGAGTGTGCAAAGAAAAATATTTTGCTTTTCACCTCATGAAATTAATTTCCAGTAAGTATCAAGCAGCCTGGATTTACTAACCTGGAATCATAAAACTTATTTCAAGCAATAAGAGAAACAGTTCTATGAAATAAGTCTATATTTTGTTCTCAAAAACCCCAACAACTTAAAAGGAAGTGTAAGAGAATAATTAAAATATGGATATGTCAAATTCTTGCATTTCAGAACACTGAAAGGCTTTTCATGCTTAAAGTAGCTGTTTTTTCAACTAGAGCTGAGTGAGAATATACTGGAGCTCATTATATAATTAGTGTATTGACCTCCTTTCGTATTTCTGTGTATGCATAAGATGTTTTATAACTCAAAAGACAACTACCAAAACCCAGG